GGAAGTCAGCCCAAAGGGAGCACAGGGCTGCTGACGTGGAAGAACGTGAAGGGAAAAACAGGCAAGAACTCTGACCACGTTGCTACTAGCTCTTAGAAGACCTTGGAGATAGATCATGGAGAGCTTAATGATGCAAACATGCTTTGAGAGTTTGACTTCTGCTTGCACCTAACAGGTCCACAAGAGCTCACTTCCAAAAAAACCAACAGGCTTCCAGTTGTGTTTGGAGCCGTTCCAGAAAGCCACTTGGTGTTGCAGGTTCTCGTTGGGTGTCTTGGCCTTCTTGACCCACAGCTTGAAGCCGCTGCTGGAGCCAGCCTTGGAGCCAGCAGGGAGCTCCTGAACTTTGTCATGGTTATGGCAAAGGCTGCAGGTGTTCAGCGCCCTGAATCTGGAGAGCATCTCTCAAGCCACATATAGTTTGTGAGACCAGAAAGAGCTGCCGGCTTATAATGAGTGCTGTGACTTAGGCGCACGGTTTGTAGAGGTTTTAAGGCGTAGTGCATGAGTGCCAGGCTCCTGTTTGGTCACTGGGACAAAACGAGATCTGGGAATGTTGGATGTCCTAAAAAGAGTACAGGGGAGACAAACGGGGAGGAGATGTGGCTCTTCTTGGCCTTGTTTAGCCCCCAGCCCCTCTACACCCCACAAACCTTAGTTACAGCTGTGGGCTTCTGCAGAACGTCACAATGCCTAGTAAATCTTTGGGATATACTTAAAAGCAGGAAAATACTGTGTTGGTTTCTTCTTTTTTTGTATACATAGGGCAGCTGCCAGCAGCAGCACCTGCTGGAGTCGAGGGTGCTGAGCAAGGCAGGGTCGTGTCCCGAGCAGCAGTCACAAGGGGAGCTGAGCGGAGCCCGCCTGAAAACTCGGGGGGTTTCTGCTTCTTAGCAAGCCGAAACACAGCTCCCCGTCCCCAGTACTCCTCGCTGTGAGGATGAGGACTGAGGAAGGCTCACCCTGCCTGCAGCTTCTTCAGTTCTTCGTGCGGGGAACTCGTGGAGGAGCCAGTGCCTCTGGAAAGAAAGCACCTGTTGGTACTGTGGGCATCTGAGCGTGATGCTAACCCACGCAACGCTGCCCCTTGCATCTGACAAATGTTTTACAACTTTGACTTCTTTGCAGGTTTTACTTAAATTTGGTGGAGGAGGCTGTGGCTGAGCAGAGAACTAATTTGTTATTTCACTAACTGGAATAATTTACAATGGAAAGAAGCTTTTTTTAGTTAAAAGTTGTGTTTCTGATTACAGCTTCCGGTATTTTACCTCGCAGTCCACAAACACTCTTCTTAAACTTGATTCCTGACAAGTCGCTTTTCTCAATTCTCGCGTTCTTGGACTCCACCAGGGGAAAAGGAAGGCCCTGCTAATATTGCTTGGCTGTTTCCTTCCGGAGGAAGGAGGGGAGAGTTGAGAAAAAGAGGAATGAAGTAAAATGAATTTACTCTTTGCACACGTGCTGAAAGAATAGGCAGGTGTTCTTGGGAATATCTCATTTAAATCTCTGTGTATGTGTTTCGAGAGGATGCGTCCTCACTTAGAGGAGCCAACATCCCATTGCTGGACCTAATCCTGATGGGGCTGGCATCTGAGGGTTACGCGGGCTGCTCCCGGCAGAGCTCTTCCCACGCGGGGAGGCCGAGGGAGCCGGTCGAGCACTGCTCCGCTGCCTGGAAAGATTCAGTCATTTCCACCCAAAGCGAGGAAATAAAAAGCTCGGTCAGCCATTTCATCTGGAGATACCCCGCCCTCCTCCAACAAATACGAAAAAGGGAAAATGTAGGCTTGGGCCCTCACATATCCCAGCAGTTTGCACCCATTCGGGCGATGCGATTGGGGTCGGGGCAGGCAAAATAGAAGTTACCTTTATTTTTTTTTTTAATTTCGGCAGAGGAAGTTATAAGGTTGATGTTGCCCCTTTGATATTTGATTTAACCCACTGACTGCCTGGGAAGGAAGGAGTCTGTTTAGTTTACCTTTGTCCTAGATTCAGTTTTAATATCTCATGTTTAATTGGAGGGGGAGGGGGGGGAGGAATCTTTATTCTTAATGATTCATGCCGCCTCAAAGCACAGTGGTTTCTACTTGTGTGCTGCCTTTCCCACTGGGGGAGGCAAACAAAAGAACAATAATTTCAGACTCCTCCTTCAGTTTCCAAGAGAACCTTAGCTGCTCAGGGATAGCTCTGAATTTTAAAAGCATTTTTTTCTTCCAAATTATGTATTGATTGCACATAAAATAGCAGCACCGTAATATGCAATTTCAAACAAATGCACGGGGGTGCTTGGTTGCTTTTAATGCTCCTCCTTTATTTTTATTTTATTTTTTTTCCTCCAGCAGAAAACAAAAAGTGGATTCTGTTCCCATAAGCCGCTCTTGCAAAATCTGCACAAACATTTATTAGTCTAGACACAAAATATTCTCAGCCGGCCTCAGCCTGACGATGGCAAAAAGAAATAAAAATAATAATAATAATAAAAAAAAAAAAGAAAAGGCAAGCTAATATTGTACTTGGCTGTGAAAAGGGAAGGGGGGAATCATGCCCCAGGCTAGTGAAGCTGTAACATTTTGCTGGGGCTGCCTGCAACAACAGATGCATCTCGTTCCCCTGGGCTTCCAGTCCTGCCTATTCTCTTCTGCTGAACTTGGCCGCTCGCAAACATTCCCTGTGAGTACCACACCCCGGGCTTCTCCTGGACGCTTTTGATTTGATTGAATGATGGCACCAGGCATGCTCCTCTTCACCAGGCCTGCTCTTCTGCCCCAGAAATCATGTAGCGAATTCATTGATTGGAAAACGTGCAAAATAGGTGGGATCTGGGGTGACTGGTAGAAATCAAAAGGGTTTGAAATAGGCGATGTGACCGCAGCTTAAACCTGCAGGAAGGGAGCATCGACCCGAATGGTTTATCTGAATCTTCAGCTGCAACTTCTGTAAATACCAGCTCCTTCTCCTCATTTGCTACCATGGCAGTTTGCAGACTTTTGCTGAGTTAAAAGGACAAATCATAGTTGTGCGCGTTTGTTTGATCAGGCCTTTACCTCAGCGCTCACGTTCTCAGACTGCTGGGGTTTTATATTTTTGTCATTTTCTTAGAAAATGGCGAATGATGCATATCCCGGCTTCCAGATGATTAGTTCCTTTTGCTCCCAATTTGTGTCAGGCTGCGTTTGGTTGGAAATGAAAATGTAATTGCAAATTCCCCTCAACAGCACAACATGTCTGTGGTATTAATTAAAGCACTGTAAATACGTAGAATATCTGAGAATGCATTCCTTCAAGCATGGCCGTGTTTTTTTAAACCTACAGAGGAGGCAAAATACGGTATTTAGGCTTAGTAGATGAAATGTATTGCTTCTGTGGTGGCAGATCCGTGTCTTGAGATTTTAAACCTGGTGTATCTCATGCTCGAGCCTTCAAAGGAGATGTTACATAGACAATAAAACGTCCTGCTTTTCGGGGAGGGCTCTCCTTAGGTCACTCAGAAAACGCCTTCAGTCTTCACTCACTGCAGCATTCACAAAGTGAATGCCTTCCTGTAAGGTTAGTCACCGATGGCCACTCATTCCATGCTTTCACTAAGAAAAACCTTCGCAGCTTTGAATCTGAATTTCCTGCCCCGCGTTTAGGTGAGCCCGGAGCGGCGTCAGGCATTGCTGGGCTCCTCGTCCGGCGGCGATGGTGAAGTGAAAGATGCCAAAAGTGAAGTTTGACAGTGAGCTCGGGGGCTTGTGCTGGCCCGGTGGCTCTCTAAGCCCCCGTGTCTGAGCAGCGGGAGCATCCGAGCAGCACAGGACGGAGCTCAGCAAGAGGCTGGGGTCAGGGCACTGCTGCAAATAGCAATGCTTTGCTGGCTGCAGAAGTTAACCAGGTACACAGCGCTGTTTTACTACATGGTGGAGACCTACGGAGAGTGTTTCTGCCCTCCTTTTTAGCTGAAACATCCCCAGATTCTAAGGGGAAAAGGAATAGAAGGGACTTGCGGAGCAATGTTCTAGTGAAACCCAGCCTTCCTAAAGAAGCCTGCCTGAATAATTCCTGTGAATAACAGACTGTTCAGCTATTTCCTAACATAGAAACGGTGCTGACTGCTTCTTCAGAGTAACATAAGTTAGTGATGCTACTGAAATAGTTGTGGTTCAGACGTAGATCTGATTTCTCCTAAGCACGCTGAATTCACAGCTGTTGATCCTCCAGCGGAGGCTTTGCAATTGAACACCTGGAGATAGGTAAGTTTCCCGCTGTTGTTCTCCTTTCCTCTTGTTTTTTTTTTGTTTTTTTTTTTTTTTTTTTTTTCTTAGTAGCATAGGCTTAAGACTCTGAAGAAACGGGCTGCTTTTTTTCATTTCCAACACTGGCTGTTCCTTTTGAGCCCCGCCTTCTATTTTTGCAGTCACAAGATATGTGAATGTAAATTCCTGGGAGAGAGGTAGAAAACTCTGTTTCAACTGGTGTCTTTTTCGGCTATGTGGGGAGACCAAATAGGGTGGTTTTGAATCTTCTGGCTCTTATTCAGAGCAGCAGCATGTGGAGGGAGACAGATGCGTGTGCTTTTTTAGTGCAATGGCTTCAGAAGCAAGAGGGGAAAAAACACTTTCTCTGGGAGCTGGAGAAGGTGTCCTAATCGCAGGAGAGGTTTCTAAATGGCATATCTTTGCGAGTGTTCCTGTAGTCTGGAGGTTTTTGTTTGTTTGTTTGCCTTTGGAAGGTTTTACTGTTAATCTTCACGTCCTTCAGCAGAAGTGAGAAATGTGATTTTATTTTGTGCAGTGTCGCGGACCCTCCGAAATCTACTGGGAAGGATGAATACCTCGCACAGTACCAATGTGATGACAGTGGAGACAAGGAGAAACCAAGAAGATCAAAAGAACGTGACCTCATTTCAAAAGAAAACGTTTTGTACGGCAAAGAGACTTCTGAGCCTGGTGAGAAATTGCGGCAAACTTCCTCTCTCAAGTGTGACACTGAATGTAGCTCTAAAAAGCTTTCCTCCTCAGCTATTGCAGAGAGATGCCAAGGTAGAAAGGACAAGACTAAAAACACTGAGAAAGAGCATTACCAAAGCAAGAGGGAACATGCTCCTAGTGAAGAGAAGGAGAGTCAAAAAGCAGGTCCTTCCAGCAAAAGGAGGTGTTCTCTGAGCGTGGAAGTTGTGGAGCAAAAGCGTCACAAGCAGGAGCACTGGGAGGGAAGCAGGTACAGATCTTGACAGAGTCAAAAAGCAGGTTTATTATTGTTATTATTATTATTATTATTATTATTATTATTATTACTATGCCATTAGTCCTGTGAATCCAGCCGCTTTCCTTACTAACAGAGTTTCTGTCCTCCTTTTGGTGACATCTCAGAGGCTCTTCCTGTCTCACAGCCTCGTTGGGGAGTGAGGAGAGGGCGTGTGTATGGGGGAGCAGTTCCCTAACATGCAGCCCCCTTCTTGCTGCAGGGCCCAATGAGGTGGCTGGGCCGCAGGGGCTGTGTTAAGGAGTGGCCCTGCACCCCTCTGACATGAGCACGGGTCACAGAGGGACACCTCCGCATCACAATGGCAGCTCCCCTTATGCCACAGCGTGCCAGGCCCTTTCTGTCATCGCCTCAGTGAGCTCGGGCGTTGAAGGAGGCTCTTGCATCCAGTTTTCTCTGGAGGACACGAGAAGTCTCTCCTGTAGCTCAGAGTCTCAGAGGACAAAGGGAGGCGTAGGACGGTGCAGGAGCTATTTGGTGAAGCACAGAGGGCATCAAAAAGGGAGGAAACATCACAGATCTTTCACTCTCTAGCCTGACGTGCTGACCCAAAGCAGGATCATGACAAACTTGGAAGCGCTAATCACCAACATTGAGCGCTGCAGTGAGGTTGAGGGCTGCACCAAGGTCACGTTTCCCACACTCAAGAAGCTTTCTGTCAATGGTAAGGCATTTGGGACCTCTTATGAGTGTAGCTATAGACTGATACGAACTCTACAAATTGTGGAAAGCGAGGTTCTTGTCTGCGGGGGAGGCCCCAAGGGTGCTGTGTGTGTGGCGTTGTGCCCTGCCCGTGGTGGCAGTCCTGTGGCCGGGTTCCGCTTGCTGATGGGTCACACGTGGAGATCTGTCTCTGAAGGGAAAGATGCGTGCACGGTTGGAAGAAGGCTGAGGTTCCTGCAGTTCCTGATGGGCTCCCAAGAAACTGCCAGAAATACATGTGTCAGGAGGAGATCTGCTGACTTGTCAGCATTTCAGCAAGGCCTCTCATGAAGGGGCTGAGCCCCTCCCTGCCTGTGGCTTCTTCCTGCTGCAGCCTCCTGTGCCTCATGGCTCTCAGAAAAGGCTTAGGGCTAAGAGAGGCCCTCCCATTTCAGATGCCTACAGGCTGCATTCCCTTGTCCAAAACGCTTTTAAGAGCTCCTGCAGCTGCAGACCTTTCCTGGGACGTGGCAGAGCTGTTAGACTGGTATCAGTCAAAAATTCATCCAGAGTCACAGATGGATTCATCCTGGGAGCTGTGTTAGATCACACCTGCATCTGCAAACGCCTTGTAAAGAAATGTGCTGATGGGCCATGGACTTGCTGACTTTGAGCTTGACATGTCCTTCCCTTGCTTTCCAGATGTCATCACAATTTGGGGTGGTGTGTCCAAGCAGGTTCGGCAATTGCTCATGATGACGAAGGTGGGACTGCACCCTACCCCTCCCCTCACCCCACGGCTTCAGGAAGTCCTGGCAGCCCTGTGCCAGCAAGTGCCATTGCTCTTCCCAGAGCCGCACTGACACGTACAGATGTGCCCCAAGCGTGCCAAAGACCAGCTTCTCTGTAAATTGAAATAATTGTAATAATTGAAACCAACCCAACAGAAAATCAAGTATTTATAGTTATATCAAAGATACAAAACGGTAGGAAAATGTGTTCAGAACTTGCTGGGGCTTCGCTGTTCTTCGCTTTCAGAGTGGAGAGAGCAAACAGACAGCTGGGGATGCTTCCAGGGTTAACCCCAATTGCTGGAAGGGACCTAGCTGAAGGATGGGCTAGACCTCCTCCACCTGCTTTACTTCACCGCGCATTTTCTTGAGGGGCAAAGGAAGGAGAGAAAATGCCCCGAGTATGTGGGTCTTCTCATGAGCTTTCCCAGCTCCCCCAGCTTACCCCATGCCGCGTTGGGAGTGGGCAGGGCACAGGGCACCCCGTTGCAAGATGTCACAAGTCCTCACTCTGTTTTCCAACTTAAACATGCTTCCCCTTCTTTTCTTTACCAGCCTCGGGCCGTCACTGTAACAGGACTGGGGACATTCCATATTAAAAAATGGCTATCTTTTGAAAATGGCCAGGTGTTCACATTTCGGAGACCTGTGTTTTCACCGTCCAAGACTCTTGGACAGATTCGTAACCTGAAACACCGTTGTGTACGCGTTCCTGGTAAGAATACCAATTAAAGTCTTGTTTTCCCATGTGTACATATATTAAGGGGTTATGCCGATTGCTGTTTAGAAGTGCTGATAGGCAACTCAGATGCCGTCAGAAGGCCCTGAGAGAGAGAAGAGATGGCTGGCATAGAAACCCATCAATGGCCAGATTTGCTGTAATTTCTGTCAACTGCTGCCATTGCTTTGGCTACTGTGTGCCATGGATGAGACCTGCGCAGCACTAAGAGCTTGGTGCTTCATTTGGGGTGGGTCTTCTCTTTCCAATGACTCTCAGCTTCTCCTGGATAATAGGAACTTCTGTCAGGCAGCCCTGGGGTAAAGGGCATTGGTACCAAAAGCAGAGACATTTGTTCCTGAGTTTTGAAGGCCACAGGGACTATCCAGAACTGTCTGGAAGAGTTCTTGTGCTTGCCTGTCTCAGTGCGAGGCAGGTCTCCCCAGACCAGGCGTGCACTGAGCCTGGGCTCTTTGCATGGGAACCAGCCGCATTCCTTTTGCCTCCTCCTCCTGTGTTCCGCAGACGGCTGAGGTCATTGGGTCCTGTCTCTGGGCTGAGGAGTCACAGCTGTGCACTTGGTACATTGATGGAATGATTTCAGTTTCTCTTGAGGGGGGGCATACATCAGCTGCTTTAAGGAGTCGTACAAGGCTTAGACTACAGCAGTTACAGCAGCATGTTTTAGCTGGAAGCTCCTGGCACTTTGTTTGAATCTGTTCAACTGCAGTGCAAGTTGCATTGTTCCTCATTTTTTCCAGATGATATGAAGATAGTGGTGCTGAGCTATGAGAATATGCGCCTGAACGTCCCGTACAGCAAGGAAATAGTGCAGAGCTGTTTGGAGGAGACCTTGCAATACTTCTACCGCATCCTCACAAATAGGGAGGACACGGACTTCACCTTAAAGGATTTTGGCACTCTTGCTATCCGAGGGCAAAGAGTGAAAATGACGTTTTCTGAAGGGTTTTTACACAGTCTCAACAAGTCCACATACGTGGTAGAGAAGCTGATTGCTGTAAGTTTATTGTTTCTGCAGTCCTACTTAGAGAGGGTTTGAAGCCCCATCAAAGGGTGGGGGCACTGAGCCCTGCTGGCAGCTGTGAGCTGCCAGGACGCTGGAGCTAGGCACAGTCCATCGCAGTGAGAGCTTTCTGTTTTCTTTCTTTTATTTGCTGTATGACTGCTGGCAATGCGTGCAGTCGTATCGTTGCTGGGCAAAGGATAGCACTGGAAGGGCCTCGCCATAAATAGGAAAGAAGCCAAAGCAACGGCTAGGCTGATGATGTTCCCCCCCCGTTGCGGGCGTGAGGCTGAGGCACAAGGACACCAGGCCCTTTTGGATGCAGGCAGGCTGTTGGTGTAGTTCTCCTGTCCCAGCAGAAAAGCTCTGGTCTCCGTGTTCCTCCACACTGCCAACGCAATCCTCTGACTCCTGTGAAAAACTCTGGGGATAACACCAGCTCTGACCCATTTGCGCTGCATTCAGGAATAGCTAAAGCAAGCGACCCCACTGAAAGCAGCAGCTGGAAGCCGAGGCTCATGACGGGCCTTCCCTTGTGTTTGCTCCATTGACTTGTTCACAGGCTGAGGCTGTTAACTACGGTCCTTGTGAAAAGGTTGGCAGCGTTCCTCACCCTAGCAGATCATGTGCTGTGCAGTGTGTTTTAACTGGCTGAGGCACTTGTCCAGAAGTTTGCTGAGAGGCAGTGAATTCCTGGAGCTACAGAAAGGCCTCTGTGAATGTTGAGCTCTTTTCCTTGGACTCATGTCAGATGTTTCTGTCCCTGCAGAAAAAGTTGGTCAGACTGGACAAAGAAACTGCCCTGTTCCCAAGCCATTTTGGCCGTGCCCACCTGTTCCCTCAGTAAGTATATTTGTTCCTGCAGCCCTGCTCTGCGCGCACTCACACGTGCTCAGCTCATGATTGGTAGTGCTCTTTCAAACTACTGTTTTGCAGTTAATTTCATCCTTGCTTTTGCTTAGCTTGGGCTTACGCATCACCCTCAGTTACTGACCGTGTTCTGCATTTTACCATTACTCCAGTCAGAGGCAACTGGGTTGCTCTGCAGACGCATTGAAGCAACTCACCTAATGTTTCATCTGCTTCTTCTCTTTTATGTGGTTAAAACTGCCAAAATATCTAAAAGAAGTAAGATCCTAGTGTTTCTGTTGGTTTGAATGCAACATGGACAGGATCTCTTAGCAGGTGGAACAAGGACCAGATCTATGCTTGTCCCCTGCCTGTGATGTTTCCATGTCTTTGGTGAAACTCGTGTCAATCAAAGGAACTCTGAAATGCCTTCTTGTGTCAGGACGACACAGGAGCACTGAGGCAAAATAAAAACCCAAACCTCTGTCTAGCGAGGGGCTGCTGAGCTGTTCTGAGGCCAGCACTGCTCAGTTTGAATGCTTTAGGGCATGTGTTGGACTCTCCACGGATACCTTGACATTAATCTGGCAAAGGAGCCCTTTTCACAGAACGGTGCCTTCTTCCTACTTCCAGGTTTGAGATTAAGGCGGTACCTCGGCTTGCTAGGGAGCGTCTTGCAGAGGAAGAGATACTTAATGCACAAGGTAACGTTAATGACTGATTGCTGGTGGAGGTTTGTGCCTTTCCCTGTTGTCCTCGCTGGGGGGTGCTTGGGACTCAGGTTACAGGGAGATGCCTGGGATAGCAGAGGCACGCTGTATGCCTCTGTTTACCCTCCTGGTAAGTCTCAAGGGACGCATTTTGAACAAGATAGTGCTGAAGTATGTTTTTCCCCTGCATTACGTGCCAAAGGGTGCCTCTCTTCCATTTTATGGGTTTGTTTGTGCAGGAGGGAGTCAGTGTTTGGCAAGTCCGCTAGCACTGTGAATAACAAACTCCGTCTTGAGTTGTGGGAGACTGAGGGGCTGGGCATACCGCTTTGAATCACCATGTTGTCATTTGATGAGAAAAATTGTGTCGAGAAGAATGCACAAAGGTTGCCAAGCTGTGCCAAAACTTTGGTTCTCCTCTAAAGCTGGGAACTCCTCATTCTTAATTCCTCATGAATATCACAGATATAACGTGCTTGAGTTGAATGCACCAGGATAGAAAGCCTGTGTAGAAAAACCATGTATGCCGCTCCAAGAAATCGTTGCCCCAAAAGAGATTGTTAGGCACCAAAATGTGTGTCCCCGCAAAACCCCCACTGTTCAGAGGGGATGGACTTGCTGCTGCAGCAGAAAGATCACAGCAAAAGGGGTAATGCAGCACTGTGGGTATCAAAGGTCAGATGGGATCTGGAGTCAGGAAGGGCTTGCAGTCTTCTAGAAAACAGGTCTCAGAAGGAATCACAGGGATACCTCAGCTAGCTTATAACATTGCAGAGCAGATCTGTGCCTGATGTGCTGAGAGGTTTTCTCCTTTTGTGTTTACAGCGTCTCTTCTTCATACATTAAAACTTGCGCAAAGGAGACTTTCTCCAAGCACATTGGCCACAGCTGAAGCGAAGGAAGAAGCAGAGGAGGAAACAAAGGCAAAAGAGTCTCCTGGCAGGTGAGATGTAAAGGATTTGTTAGAGTGGCCTTATGCTCTTGTGCTTGTGTGGCATGCTTTATAGGATCCTACCTCTCAGAAGGTCTCAGTCCAGTGGGCTGCTGCAAGTGCGATCAGCTCTGAAGTCAGAGCTGGTTGCTCAGATTGCTCTGAAGTCAGGTGCTGGTTGCACCTAACCTGATGTCGTCTGCACACTTATTGAGGGTGCACTCAATCCCCTCATCCAGATCATCGATAAAGATATTGAAGAGAACCGGCCCTAGTACTGAATGACAGAATCATTGAGGTTGGAAGAGACCCCCAAGATCACCGAGTCCATCCTTTGACCTGACACTAACAAGTCTGCCACTAAACTATATCACTAAGCTCTACATCTAAACATCTTTTGAAGACCTCCAGGGATGGTGACTCAACCACTTCCCTGGGCAGCCCACCCCAGTGCCTAACAACCCTTTCAGTAGAGATGTTTGTCCTAATATCCAATAAAACCACCCCTGGTGTAACTTTAGCCCATTCCCCCTCGTCCCATCACTGGGCACGTGGGAGTACCCACTCTGTACCCCTCCCTTGCACTGCAGGGATGGAGGAAAACACCACCTGTACTCCCGCTCCATCTACTAACCGCCCCGGTCCCCTGAAAACCCTTTTGATAGCCTCCAGGCTTCTCTCAGCAATTTCATCACTGCCAGCCCGGACTATCAGTAGAGGACAGTAATCAGAGGGGCGAGCCAGGTTGGGAAGGTTTCTGGCAGCGTCCCTGGCCTGGGCCCCAGGGAGGCAGCAGACTTCCCTATGGGTAGGGTCTGGCCGACATATAGGGGCCCTCTGATCCCATGAGAAGGGAGTTGTCTACAACGATTACCCTTCTTTCTGTCTTGGTGGAGGCAGTCTTGAGGTGTGGAGTCAACTTCCTCGCCCTAGGCAACCTCCTGGGTGGACTTTCAGACACATCCTCACCCACCAGTCTCTCAAGCTCCAAGGCCTCAAACCTCTTGTGTAAGTGCGCCTGTGTGCACCTTCCAGTGTTGAGATCTTCTTGGTGATTAAATGCTGATCATTATCCCAGCAGCTGCGAGTCATGTGCATGGTTCTTTAGATTTCCACGACCCTGGTCTCTCCGTTTGGAGAGAGGGTGGAGAAGAGAAACCCTTCCTGCACTCAGATCCACTTCCTGACTCCTGCTGGTGTGTATTTTCAGACTGTTCCCTGTATGTCCAGACACAGAAGGAAGGCAGCACAAAGAAACTCCCCGCAAGAGGCTTAAATTGCCATTGCTTGCTTCTGAAGATCATAGACACACAGGACAGGTATGTAAGGTGGTCCGAGATAATTTTTGTGTCTCTTTTGATTGTAGATGATCATGTGGGGGCATCTTAGGAGAAGGATGTACGCGCTAAATACTTAGATGTTTATTGTGAAAACATCCCTTTACTTGGGTAGTAAAGTAGCCTGTTTTGAAAAATAGCTCGTTCATGAGTTAGTTCATTGGTCATAACAGAATGGCTTTCTGGTTGCATCTGTAAGAACTTGGGAGCAAAAAATTGCTGACAAACCTTCAGGGAAAAATAGAGAAGATGAGGGAGAGAAGAACACTATTAAAAAAAAAGAAAAAAGAAAACAGAAAAAGGAAAAGGCAAGGGAAAAGAAAACAACAACAACAACAACAAAAAACACACAAAAACAGACGAATAACTGCTGCTATTGCATTTCTGGGTTCCTCTAGGAAGCACTCTCTGTACTGGGGGTGCAGGTTGGAGGGAAACTGGAGGCGTCTGTGGCCAGCAAGGAGAAAGAAGAGACCAGAGAAGCAAAAAGAGTCACATTTCCAAAACTGCTGGAACAGCAAGATGAGGGACAAAGGGATAAGATGTGGATGGGCCAGGTACAGAAAGCCCTGTAAAGCATCCCGCAGGGTAGCATTTTGCTGGCTGGGGGGAAGCTGAGTTGTGAAGGTCTCCAAGTCCCGGCAGTATTGCCACCTCTAGAGAGCAGGGCACGTGGCTGTTGATTTTATTAACACTGGCACATTGCCATGAGGAAGGAATTCCTGGCAGAAGCCAAGGGACGCCAAGAGCAGTCTAGCAGAGTGAGGGCAGAAGCATACTCTTTGTCCCTTGACAGGAGGACACCTTTTCCCTGGCCTGGAACTTAAGTCCAGTGGCTTGAGGCAGCTCCCGATGCATCATGCTGCAGGAGAGCTCCAGGAGCAGCTGTTACTTCTGGTCTCTTCAGTTAACATGAAGAGCACTAAGACCATTTTTCATGAGCGTAACAGCTGACGTTTTGTTCCAGCTGCTCTTTCAGGGCAGGGAGCCAACACCTTGATGAGAGGCAGGGCACACGTGTCTTGATGCTGTTCTGCGACTGCCTGATGGCTATTTCTCAGTGCTGTTGTACACCTGGGATCGGTGGCAGGCCCAGACACCCTTGCCATCTATAGCTCCGAAAAGCCTCAGCGCAGGAAGTCCCCTCCAAAACCATTATACCAATGCGATCTCAACACTAGATTTTGTAAGAAGCTCATCTGCAGTTAAAGTACTAACATAAGCAGCAGGCATATGACCGATGGTTTGACTAATGTCAAGCCAGAAGTGGTTTTGGAGCAGGGTTTCAAACTACACCATGGGAGAAAACTGTATCCAGTGCTTGTCTTTAAACGGAAAGCAAGTAGGTTTGCTCCACGCTCCACATGTTGCATTCGTTTTTGCTCCCTGTGTGGCAAGACCAGACTCTCCCTGTTTGAAACCAGCTCAGGACACCAGCTTCTGTCATTTGTCTGTTTTTCAGCAGCGACAGGAAGAAGAAGATAGCCTCAGCTCCCCAGAGATCACCTGTGATACAAAAGATGATCTACAAAAGCTGGAGGCTTGGATTCAGGAGAGGAAGCAACTCCGGTCTCAGCTGAAAAGCTTTGGAGATGTTGAAAAATGGCTGAGTCATAAACCTACCTTTACCAAACTGGAAGAAAGAGTCAGGAAACGAATAACGGCAGCTAGAGTAGACCAGAGGGCTAGAAGCAAGTCAGTCGAGACCGACAGGCCAGACGTAAGTATACCTGGTGTTGTGCCACTCTTGGGATTACTGTACTTCATCTCTTGTGGCCGTGCCACGGCCTCAGCATCTGCTTGTAAGTCGGCAGCGCGACACTGCTTTATCCCAGCCACTTCTGCATCTGCTGGCAGAGTGATTCTGGATAACGGTGATTTGAGGGTATTTTCGAATTCCTTTTCAGTGTTCACCACCACCAAGGAGCCAGACCCGGAAGAAGGGTAGCCTTCCCCTTATTTGTGCACCATACCCTCAAGCTCTTATCGCACTGCATAACCTCCTACACCAACAGAAGTTGACAATGGTAGACATCTTCAGAAAGGCTGGAATGGAACAGAGAAAGATCATGAGAGCAGACTTCATTAAAGTCATCAAGGAGGTATGTAGGGAAGAGAAAAGTAAGGAACTGCTGCAACTTTGCCTTGTTTTGCTGCATGCCAACCCGGAGAAGTGGAAAAGCTCCAACTTCTCTTGTGTTACTCTCAGAGGATGGCTCCCACAGCCTGTGAAATGTTGAAGGGAAGAGGGAAGGGAAGGCTGCAGAGATGCGAGCTGCCACCCAGACTGAGTCCCAGGAGGGAGTGAAACTCATTGCCTCATAGTCTCTAAAGACAGTCAGCGCTCAGTAACGTGGCCTGAACTGGCATCAAGTTTCCTCGTGTTGATACTTGGTCTTTCCTTGGCCAGTTTCATGTGTCTGCCCGCTGCACTGCCTTTTAGTACCTGTTGGCACAGCAGAGCTCGTGCTGAGCCTCACTTTCCACAGGCTGCAACGGTACAGAACTGTCAAGAGCATGTCCAGATCTGTTAGGGTTTAGCAGTTCAGGTGTTTTCTGATGTTCTGTTCCAAGCCAAATTAGCTTCTTGACGCCCAGATGGCTGAGAAGTTTGGCACATTGAAAGCTGAGAGCTCAGCAGAGGACAGCAAAAGACCAGTAAATTTTTCAGTGCTTGGTAAACTCATGTAAAGCTTAAAGCTCAACAGGTTGCCTCTGTGCCTTTTCTGAAAAAGCATTTAAAACAACAGCAAAGCTCATCCCCCCCCTACTCCGGGCCAAGCCTTGTTTTTTTATTGATCACACTGTCGCTTCCTGTTTTGGCTGCCAGACAAAAGTTCCCATCAGTGACAAGGAGCTGGAGGATGTGGTCATCTTCTTGACTTCTTCAAAGCGGAGGAATTATATAAGCAGTGAAGATCTGATTGAATGTCAAAAGCAGTGGCAGGAAATGAGGAAAGGACAGCCCAAAGAGACCGGCGAAGGTGAGAGGAGAACCCTGGGCTGGGAATCTCTATCCTTGCAGATGCCCTAAAAGTACACAGGTGGCATTAGGGAATGCCAAAGTAGATCCAGAATATAGCTCCTTGCGACTATTGTCCTGCAACGCGGTTGCTGAAAAGAGACCTCTGGGGAGAAGCTAAAGAATCCAGGGGAAGTGCAATACTCAGCCCATCTGTGGGAGACAGCTTATCCGATCTTTTAGGTTTGACTCAGAATCTGAACCCCGAGGTTTAACCTCCTGTACTGGATTTTATTGGTTAGCGTTGATCATCTGGCTGATCAGAAGCAGACCCTTTCTCCAGCTGTTGAGGGCAGCTGGACAATGCAGATTCAAAGGTCCTACTCTTTAAAACCTAGCCCAAACCTGAAGGCTTGCCATGGTACCTGTGTCATTTTTATCTGAAGGTAATGGCAACATTCTTCTCACATCTTGGAGAGAAGAGGCATTTTGCTGCTGTGTTGTTGTACTAATTGTTTTGTAGCCTGAACGTGTATTGCGAGCATGAAACTGAATGGGGCAAAGCGGAGATGGGAGTCGTCTGTAATATGTGTGTCTGGATTGAAAGCGAAAGGATGCTTCCATTCAAAGATCGTCGTCTGTTGGGTGCTCCAGACTGCACAAAATGCCAAAGCTTTTTGCCTTATAAACACTGATCAGCCTTGTTTTTTTTTTTTTTTTTTTTTTTTATTTCTGCTACTGTCTAACAGGGTTTCTCTGAGCTTTTCATGTGTTTGCTTTCTAAACTGCCGTAGATACACAGCCTTGGGTCTGGAGAAACGCTTGCAAAGCTGCCACTTCTCCACCTTCTGCTGGGGACAAAGCTGTGGGGATGAAGCCTTGCTCTCCCACGGAGCCCAAAGAAAAGCTAATACTCTTGGAAGTGCCCCCAGTCAACACTGAGCCAGGCCGGCGACATTTAGACTGGGATGAAATGGAAGAGATTGGAAAGCGCTCAAGAGAGAGCAGACGGCTGGAGAAGGTAGTGTGGCGGGAAAAAAGGCGCCCCTCTATGTGCTCGCGAATGTGGGGTGGGCAGCAAAGGAGAAGGTTGGAGATTGTTCTGGATATTACCTTCTCAGTAGTCCCTTGACCACATCGTGCCTCACAGCTGAGATGCTACAAGCTGTCTCAAACAACTGGTTTGGCTTCTGAACACTCTGGTGATGTAAACACTCTTTTCTGGGTAACTGAAGCATCAAGAAATGGAAGTTGAAGCAATGTTCAGGTGTGGGGATGGAGTCATCCGAGCTCTAGTGAACCTGACACAATCAGAGAAGAGATGGTGGCTGGGAGATTTTTTTCAGCTGGGGCACCTATGTCCAGTATGCTGCTCTTGTGCTTGGTGCTCTAGGGAGCGTCTGCCTGTGGGCCTGGCACTGGAAGGGAATGGCACTCCCAGATAAGCGCTTGGTCCCATCGCAGGGTGCTGAGTCCCATCTACACGCACTTCTGAGATGGATCCCTGCCTGTAGTTTCTCCAAAGGGAATGCAGCAACTCCAGGGCCTCACTGAAAGCTAACTGGGACCATTGCTTTACTTGCAGATCAAAGACAGCCCGATAGAGTGGAAAGAAAAGTGTCGGCTGGTGAGATCTGGGGATGCACCCGTCGATGAACACTGCCTGCCATCAACTATAGAGGGTGACATGGGAGCACTGGTTGACCACTATCGCAGAAATGCCGTTGTGAACTATCTGAATTGCTCCAAGCAGTGCAAGGAGCGTAACATCTGTCTCACCGACAAAGCGCTGCAAAGAGGTAAAGCAAAGAGCAAGGAATGTACTAATGTGAACGTACTAAGCCCGACATGCTCCTGCCTCTTCCCAAGACCCAGAAGCACGATGCATGTTCAGGGTGGGGCACTGCTGATGGAGAATGTTTGCAGCCCTTGGAGGGCCACGGCAGATGCTGCTGGTTAGGATCAGCAATACCATCAGCAGGGCCAGAGCAGGGCTGAGATAGCAAAGAGTGCTACAGAGCAGCCAGGGCCACGTCCCCCTGGACTGGTAGCCAGGATCAGACACGAGTGCAGTTAATGAGGCAAGTTCATGGTGATGGGGCAAGTGCAAGGTCAGGCAAAGGTCATGGTCAGACCATGGTCAGGTTCAGCAGGTCCATGGCCAGGCACAGCTGAGTCAGAGCTGTGTCAGCTGGACACTGCTACAGCTGCAACGTGAGCAAAGGGCTGAGCTGAAATGGGGCTCCTGAGCCCAGGGCAGGGCGTGTGGGAAGAGGCCCCATGTGAAGTTGGCCAGGGCCATCATGTCCTCTCAGCACTTGCTGGGCCATCACGTCTTCCTCCTTTCCAGAGCGGGGCCATTTTTTCTGTCCCCTCCCGGTCAGTATCACCGACCAAACCCAGAGGTGACCTGGATCGGCAGGGGGACAGGCTTGGGGCAACAGGAGAACAGAGTTTTCTTGGCTATTCAGCATTGGCTGTCCATACACCATTGCTTTTCTCTGTGCGCTTTGTCAACAGGCCTGCTGCACCCAGGAGACAAGATCATCAAAGAAGGAGAAGACGTGAGGAAGATCAGGCAGCCTGGAGGATACTACAGCACAGGACATGCTGACGCCACATCTCCTCTGAGCATGTCCAGGTCAAAAAGTGCATCAGGAAAACAGGCCAAGGAGGCAGAAAACAGGTTGGTTCAAAGAGGGCTTATGATCAGTCCCTTCCTGCTGCCCTGCTGTGCATCAGCTCCCACTGCATCAGAGGCGGTACTGAGGTATCAAAGTGGAACGTTAGGGTGCTGCAAGGTAGCAGCAAGCGATAGCAGAGGAAGAGAGATCTCTTCTCAGCTACACGGCCACTGCTGTGTTTTTGCTGACTTGCGGGGTTGCAGTGGTGCTGGCGAACAGCTTCTCTGTACTCCAAACTGCAGAGATGACAGAACTTCTCACCTAAGACGGTCCTTGTCAGGCCAACCCAACGCTTCTTGGAAATCCTCTCAGAGAATGTTTTTTCTTGCGTAAGAAAGGCAATCCCAAAGAATCCAGCTTTGGATGACTGGAGAAGCTCTCCAGTCGGGGGCAGAAGCAGCCTGCTACAGCAGCGTGCAGCCAGCTGCTCCTAGTAGGGCGGTGCTTCTTTTCCTCCCATTACAGCTCAGTTCCTCTGTTCCTCTAGAAAACTGACCCTTCAGAGCGTTACTAACCGTTGCAGGAGAAAAGTCAGATGCAGGTGGCAGATCTGTTTTCCTGAGCAACGTTCTTTGCATCTCAACATTTATCTGTAGGATCTGGAGATGCAAGTTTTCTAGACATAGACACAATGTCAGCCCTGAGAACAGAGGCAATTTGCCCTAATTTTTCTTGCATCTCAGGTCACCCACAAAAGCTTTTCTTCCAAAACGAGTCCAAGTTCTTTTGCTGTCCTTGTCCCTGCTGTCTTCGGACTCGTACTGTCCAAGGAGTTCATGAGTGTCCACAGGTCCTTCCTGACCCATGAAACTGGGATGTCCACTACCAGCTTGGTCATAGCACTTGCAGCACCTTCTTTAGTCAAAGTGATTCCCAAATCCGATTGAATAGAAAGACTCAGCCTCACAGCTGAGCTCATGGAAGAAAGGCAGTCCTAAAGAATCCAGCTTTGGAAGACTGGAGAAGCTTTTGAGGAGAAGAAACACTTTGCAAAATAGAGCACAGTCTTCCTAGTTCATCTCAGAGAGTTTATGTACTACAGTGATAGGCAACACATCAGTTCTCAAGACAGCTTCACAAGTTGGCATTTCCAATGTCAGTCATGAAGAAGAAGGACAGGCAGGGGTTTCCAGAAGTCCTAGTAGCTGGTTCTTGTCAGGCTCGCATTTGCCATTACTAGTAATAGCAGTGAAGTTGCCTAGAATTTTATTTCCATAAAACATGCTACTCTCTCTGACTTTTTTTTTTTCTTCTTTTCTTTATTTTTCTTTAGGCGTCTTGAGAAGAATAAGAATCAAAAGTCAAGCGACAATAACTTCTGGCCAGGCCATCTCCTGGACAAGATGCGCCTGTACTTTCCAGATAAGGAGCCTGACAGGGCACACGCCTTGTTTAGCTATGTTCACCCAACCAGGCCTGCCTACCGTGGTATCTAAAACCCTGGCTACAGGTAGTTCATCAGAGCCAGGATACTTGGCCTCTAGAGACACTCCATTCGAGAAAACTCATTTCACCTGAAGTTCTTCTCCTAGCGGCATGAGATGTGTGCACAGCTTTGTGACTCATCAGGTCAGCTCATGGGATCTGGGCCAACTTCATGGAGAATATCATCAACTATCCTGAGTTGCAAGGGGTTTGATCATCAAGTCTAACAGCTGGCTTCCCACAGGACTACCTAAAAATTAAACCATATATCTGACAGTGTTGTCCAAAAGCTTCCTGAACTCTGGCTTGCTTGCTGACATGACTGGATCTCGTGGTTAACGCAGGAGGTATCTCAACACCATACGGCCATTCGTTCACTCCCCCATACGCACCCGTGTTGTTTAGCATACTTGAGTTGCATCCCTGTGCCCAGTGGTGTGCTCTTGTGACCCCTGGAGAGCTCACAACACTCCCAGTGCACTCTAGCAACTGCTGGATTTTCCAGGTGGACCTCTAGACTGCTCTTAGAGGTTACTAGGTGTGTGGTGGTTGTACTTGGGTGGGTGGCCAAGCTCCACCACAACTGGTCTCTCACTCCCCCTCCTCAAAGAGAAACAGGGAGAAGCTACTCACAAGCAGGAGCACTGGGAGGGAAGCAGGTACAGATCTTTCCCTGGTGAAAGAAACAGCCCTGAGAATGGCAGAAGAGCAGTCAAATACTCAAAGTACAGATCTGGCAGCGGAGGAAGATCAGAACAAGGTAGCAATAGATATTACCGATCCAAAGGGGAAAGAAGTTGGAGCAGAGAAAGATACTATCGAGATGAACCGAATGATGATCGAGATGATCATTACAAAAGCGGATGGCCTCACAGTTCGTATACAAGAAGTATATGCTTTCCTCTGAGAAGGCTAATTCATCACGAAACAGCTCTCTGCAACTTCTAGTATTAAACGTTGTTTATGGGAAGACTTATTTTTAGTGAATCAAGAAATATATTCATGTAATTCTAGACTGTGTTTTTTGGAAGTGTTTTTCTCTGGCTAGTCCACGAAGTGCTCTGGGATAATTTTTCTATCTTCATGGTCTCTCTTTAGGAGGTAAAATATCCTGAGTATTTGGACCTTCGAGCCTATGTGTCGCAGTCAATTGGAGAACCACTCCTGTACACCTTATATGCGGTGCTGGTGCATCATGGTATCAACTGTCGCTCAGTTGCAGCAGCATGTTTTAGCTGGAAGCTCCTGGCACTTTGTTTGAATCTGTTCAACTGCAGTGCAAGTTGCATTGTTCCTCATTTTTTCCAGATGATATGAAGATAGTGGTGCTGAGCTATGAGAATATGCGCCTGAACGTCCCGTACAGCAAGGAAATAGTGCAGAGCTGTTTGGAGGAGACCTTGCAATACTTCTACCGCATCCTCACAAATAGGGAGGACACGGACTTCACCTTAAAGGATTTTGGCACTCTTGCTATCCGAGGGCAAAGAGTGAAAATGACGTTTTCTGAAGGGTTTTTACACAGTCTCAACAAGTCCACATACGTGGTAGAGAAGCTGATTGCTGTAAGTTTATTGTTTCTGCAGTCCTACTTAGAGAGGGTGTACTGCCACTTACGGCCCCGCTTTTTCACCTGGAAAAAGCGACCACATGACGTAGACTGAGGAGCCCTGCTATTCTTGCACTTGTTTTTTGTTCCGTTTCGTTTTGTTTTGTTTTGTTTTTCCCTACTAGTATAGGCTTAAGAAGATAGAGAAATGTGCTGATGAAACAATTTTTAGTAAAAAAAGACAGCTTGGTACATCTCCTTACAAAAAATAAATAAATAAATACAAACTTGAACTCGAAAATCACGGTGTCAAGTCAGATAAGTGAAGAAACATTACCCCTTTAAAGAGCACAAAAAGTCAAAAGAAATTGGAAAAGTAACAGGCTGGCAACTGAAAGCCATGTATTGTCTGTGAAGCATCGGATAGGTTGTGAGCCTGGATTACCCAGACAATGGGGAAACAGGAGGCTCCCGGTCGTCGGGAAATAAAGGATATAAACTGTACGATGTGACTAGTAGGTGCGCTCCTGCTTGTGGGACGCCCGCCATTGCAACCGCGAATAAAAATGCTACTTCACTGACGGAGATCCTCGCCTGAGCCTATGTTACTGCCTACAGAGTGTTTCTCGCAGTGTGACACTGGAGTTCTGAAAACCTGTCACCGATTTTACAGAAAAAGCGATTTTCCGGGGGGGAGGGGAGGCGGAAGCCCTGCCCGCCTCGATCCCCGGCTCCGCTGCACAACGCGCCTCCCCCGAGCCGATCGCCTCGGCGAGTGGCCGCGAAATGGCGGCGACGCCCGACGTAAACGGCCCGCCGCTGCCGCTGCCGGCTCCCCCCACAGCTCGGCAGCCTCCCCTCGCGAGGGCTGCCGGCGCCTGCCGGCTCCCTCGGCTGCCTCGGGTGGCCTCGGGTGGCCTCGGTGCCGGGAAACAAGCCCTGCCCGCCTCGATCCCCCGCTCCGCTGCACAACGTGTCCGCCCCAGAGCCGACCGTCTCGGCGAGTCACTCCGGTCATGCTTAGCTATTACACATAAATGCCAAGGTACAAAGTGTTGTAAGTTGCCCCCTTAATAAATTTTCAGAGAGCATTGCATTAAGAATAGGAAGGAGTTTATTGAGTAAGCAACAGCAAGCAAAACAGCGCTGGGCGGCCGGGGAGTCTCGGCTCCGCCAATGGTGCGCACCTCACCCCCGCCAGGGTCCCTTTTTATATTTTGGTAATTCCGGGATTACGCAGCACATCCTGGTATATTCTGCGACTGTGCGCACTGTTGCTAGGGAGTCGTCTCTGTCCCTCTGGTGGTCGTGAAGATGAAGGCCGTGGTCTTCCTCGGCGTTGTGGTTCAACTTTTTTTTTTTTTTTATTTGGTCATGTTGGCCTAGCGTGAGACAGGAAGGCAAGATGTTGATACACCACTTTAGCAACTTATCAGGAGGTGGTTACATGAGCTTTGCAGCAGTGTCTTTGAACAAAAGAGGCAACTGAGATGCAGAAGGAGAGAAGGGGAGGGGGTTCTTTTTTTTGTTCCATTAAGCAAAAGAATTTTCAGTGTCTAGCCAAGTATTATACAGCTCCTTACTTCAGCAGGGAGCTCTCACAAGTCCTGCTCCTCAAACAGAACTCCTTGTTTTTATAATACAAAAGACAATGAACAAACATTTATTGTGTATTACACAAAGGACATATCTGAAAACTACGTACCTGTTAATGACTTAATGACTCGTCTATTTCAAAGCTGGATAAAGTTGTGGAAAGCCAGTCCTCTAAACCAAATGAAGAACTTGGTGATAGAAAACTGGGAAGACGACACCATGCACATGAAAAACAAACAAACAAACAAACAAACAAACAAAAAACATTAAAAAGAAAGATACATGACACTAAAAAACCTGACAAAGAGCATTACCGAAGAAAGAGAGGACATTGTGATGCAGAAGAGAAGAAGACTCAAAACAGGAGCAAAAAGATGGTCCTTCCAGCAAGAGGAGGTGCTCTCAGAGAAGTTGTTGAGCAAAAGCTCACAAGCAGGAGCACTGGGAGGGAAGCAGGTACAGATCTTTCCCTCGTGAAAGAAACAGCCCTGAGAATGGCAGAAGAGCAGTCAAATACTCAAAGTACAGATCTGGCAGCGGAGGAAGATCAGAACAAGGTAGCAATAGATATTACCGATCCAAAGGGGAAAGAAGTTGGAGCAGAGAAAGATACTATCGAGATAAAGCACAGAGATGAGGAAGATGTAGCTATTACAATGATTACTATTCACCTCATGCGACAGGAGACAGTAGAGAGAGAAAGTTCTCTCACGGCGATGCAGCCTTTGACAAATGGACTGCAACTTAGTACGGCAGGTCACATAAGCATTATCATTACAAAAGTGGATGGCCTCACGGTTCCCTCTTGAGAGATGAAGATGGACGTCGCTTTAGCACACCCCGAGCAGACTTGCATCGTTGCTTGGTACCTCAGCAACATTCTGGAAGACATTCTCGTGAAAGACATGCGCTTCCACCTGTGTCAGCTCATTTGGAGAACTGTCGCCAGAAAAATGAAACAGAAGGAAACAGAAAAAGAAAATCTACCCGTGCAGAAGGTAGTGAAAGTGAAATAGAAAGGAAAGACAGAAAGATAGAAAAGGAGCTTTTAGGTGGTGAAAAAAATGCAAAACTATCACAAGTTCTAGAAGAAAAAGAAGTCCAAGGATAAACATGGAGAGAAGGATTCCAAGTAAGCAAGGATTCCAGCATACTCCGCATTTTTTATCCTAATTCTTTTCTGGGTGCTTCTCATGTCTTCCTTTTTTTTTCTCTTTTTTTTTTTCCTGGCAGTTTCTGAGTTATTTAGATAGCATCAGCTGGCTGGGGATCATGTTGTTAGGTTGATCAGTGAAGACAGGAAAGCTATTGCTGAATTGTGTCAGAGCACTAGCTTTGGACCACATAGTTCGAATCACATCCGTACACCATTCCGGATTAGGTTAAAAGTTTTTTTCTGCTTGCACGTATTTCAGAGCTAGCCATTGTTAATGATCTGTGAACAAACCAGGACCTATGGTCCTTCAATCTGAGGGCTTAAGTTTGCTGCATCTAAAGTAAGTTGCGTGTGCACAAAGCACCACAAAATAGCTGACATGCTGCAAATCATCACCTGTGGTAAAATAAATAAAGTTTCATATAGGCAACAAGTGCCACATCTTTTTTTCTCTTTTTAACTTGCATGTTTCTTTCAGACTTCAGGATTTGTGTTTCTGTGCGCTCCACTTTGACAATGCCAATCGCAAGCGTAAGCAAAGGAAGAAAAAGGAGAAGAAAAAGAAGAAAAAAGAGAAACACCAGGAAAGTGAAAGGGTCCTTGGAACACTTAGATCTTTGTTTCCAGAAGATAACGCGGGAGAAGAAGGAAGAATCCCATCCTCCAGATGGCTCTTCATGTGAGCAATGCAGAAGCAAGGGCAATAAACAACCTTACAAGGAAAGAAAGCCTTACAGTGCACGCGGAAGCAAAAAATACAGCTCCATCGCATCCAACGACTATACTAAAGGTAAGCGGCAGCAGCGTGTTTGAGGAATTCCTTTCCTATTAATGTAGAGATTATTTCAAACAGTGTTGAAGTGCTTGGTGACTTACCAGTGTGCAGATTTATTATCAAATCCAAAAACCCCGACTTGGTAGACTATTTTTTTCCCAGTTTTGAATGACCACTAGGAAAGAAGGCCTGAAATAAAGAGGTGAAAGGCAAATAGTTTTCATTTGGTGTGATGATTAAGTGGCAAACAAAAGGAAGAGTTGCAAGATCGCTTCTTAAATTCAGTCCAGCCAAGTAGGAAAAGTAAATGTGGACAGCTGTATCTTGGCAAAGAAGATAGTAGGGAGCAAGGAGGTTTAGCAGTCAAGATGGAAGGTGATGCCATGAGGCTTTCAGGCTAGTAATGTTCTAGTGAAACCCAGCCTTCCTAAAGAAGCCTGCCTGAATAATTCCTGTGACTAACAGACTCTGCTCAGCTATTTCCTAACATAGAAACGGTGCTGACTGCTTCTTCAGAGTAACATAAGTTAGTGATACTACTGAAATAGTTGTGGTTCAGACGTAGATCTGATTTCTCCTAAGCACGCTGAATTCACAGCTGTTGATCCTCCAGAGGAGGCTTTGCAATTGAACACCTGGAGAATAGGTAAATTTCCCGCTGTTGTTCTCCTCTCCTCTTGTTTTGTTTTGTTTTGTTTTGTTTTTTCCTAGTAGCATAGGCTTAAGACTCTGAAGAAAGAGGCTGCTTTTTTTCATTTCCAACACTGGCTGTTCCTCCTGAGCCCCGCCTTTTATTTTGTCAGTCATAGGATATGTGAATGTAAATTCTTGGCAGAGAGGTAGAAAACTCTGTTTCAACTGGTGTTTTTTCAGCTATGTGGGGTGACCAAATAGGGTGGTTTTGAATTTTCTGGCTCTTATTCAGAGCAGCAGCATGTGGAGGGAGCCATATGCATTTGCTTTTTTAGTGCAATGGCTTCAGAAACAAGAGGGGAAAAAACACTTTCTCTGGGAGCTGGAGAAGGTGTCCTAATCGCAGGAGAGGTTTCTAAATGGCATATCTTTGCGAGTGTTCCTGTAGTCTGGAGGTTTTTGTTTGTTTGTTTGCCTTTGGAAGGTTTTACTGTTAATCTTCACGTCCTTCAGCAGAAGTGAGAAATGTGATTTTATTTTGTGCAGTGTCGCGGACCCTCCGAAATCTACTGGGAAGGATGAATACCTCGCACAGTACCAATGTGATGACGGTGGAGACAAGGAGAAACCAAGAAGATCAAAAGAACGTGACCTCATTTCAAAAGAAAGCGTTTTGTACGGCAAAGAGACTTCTGAGCCTGGTGAGAAATTGCGGCAAACTTCCTCTCTCAAGTGTGACACTGAATGTAGCTCTAAAAAGCTTTCCTCCTCAGCTATTGCAGAGAGATGCCAAGGTAGAAAGGACGAGACGAAAAACACTGAGAAAGAGCATTACCAAAGCAAGAGGGAACATGCTCCTACTGAAGAGAAGGAGAGTCAAAAAGCAGGTCCTTCCAGCAAGAGAAGGATCACCTTGAATACAAAAAAATACAAATTTGACCCCTGCCGGAGCAGATTCCAGGCCGGACCTGTAGCCCGTGGAGAGGAGACCACGCAGGAGCAGGTGACCTGGCAGGAGCTGCTGCCCGTAGGGGAGCCAGGTTGGAGCAGTTTTCTCCTGAGGGATGGACCCCATGGTACAGACCCATATCTGGAGCAGCTCTGGAAGAGCTGCTGCCTGTGGGAAGTCCACGCTGGATCAGTTCATCAAGGACTGCATCCTGTTGGTTGGACCCCACAGCACAGGGGACGAGAGTGACCAAGAAGGAGCGGCAGAGAAGAAGTGCTGTAGACTGACCATAACCCCCATTCCCCTGCGCCGCTCAAGGGGAGGAGGTGGAAGAGGGTGGATGGGGGGGGAAGGTGCTTTTGGTTTCTTTCCTTTGTTTCTCACTTCTCTAGCTTGTTAGCAATAAGCAATAAATCTTACTATCTCCCTATGCCAAGTCTGTTTTGCCGGTTACAATAATTACTGCGTGATTTTCTCATCCTTAACTCAACCTTTGAGCCTTTTTCACATATTTTCTCCCCATTCTTCTTTGAGGAGGGGGAGTGAGAGAGCGGCTGTGGTGGAGCTCGGCTGCCCACTCGAGCGGAACCACGACAGTGTCATCTGCAACCTTACTGAGGGTATGCTCCATCCCCTGCTCTAGGTCATCAATAAAGGTATTAAACAAGATAGGCCCCAGTACCGACCCCTGGGGGGCACCACTTGTAATGGGACGCCAGCTGGATTTAATTAACCACAACCCACTGGGCACAGCCCTCCAGCCAGTTCTGTACCCGGAGAGGGAGTGGAGGGGCAGGCACCAATCTGTTCTCTTTAGAGACCAGTGACAGGACCTGAGGGAATGGTGTCAAGCTGAGGCAGGGGAGGTTCAGGCTGGACATCAGGATGAGGTTCTTCACCGAGAGGGTGGTTGCACACTGGAACAGGCTCCCCAGGGAAGCAGTCGCTGCACCAAGCCTGTCGGAGTTTAAGAAGCCTTTGTACTGTGCTCTTAGTCACGTGGCCTGAATTTTGGGGTAGACCTGTGTAGTGCCAGGAGCTGGACTCGATGATCCTTAGGGGGCCCTTCCAACTTGGGATATTCTATGATTCTGTGGTTCTAAAAACCTGTGACATTAACCAAGTTGAAGAATAATTTAAGGAAAAATGAGGTTGACTCCTTTATTACCTTTTCAATGTAATAATACATTAAAATGTAAATTTTCAATATATATTTTTCTTCCTCCTGTGTTTGCCTTTGACGTATAACCAAGACAACAAGAATGGGGTAAGCTGCTCACAGACTTTTTTTTTTTTTTTTTTAAAGTTTATACAGTTTTAAGTGTAAGATTAAAAAATGAAAACAACAACAAAACAGGTGGTGGCTCACTTTTTATTATTACATATCCAAACAATACACATGAAAGAAAAAATTCGTAATACTACACTGATATTGGGACAGATGCTAAAAAGCTACATATGTGTGTTTCAGTTTTCTTAAGAAAAACAGACATAGAGATTGCACAGTTAGGTATTCACCATCACTAGGTGTTGTGTACGAGATGTGACAACACAACAGCAACATATCCTGCTGCATATTTTAGCACAGCTGATACAGAATCTTATTTTCAAAAAAATTAAACCTTTCCTGCCTTAACTTAAATATCTGTGAAATTCAGAGACATTTTTCTCTGCTGGTTTGAAGAGGTATCCTTCAAACAGAATATTGCTTTCTGTTTATTTAAATATATTTATCACCAGCAATATATTCATTTTTATTAAAATAAATATATATAATTATCTCCAGGTCAGTAGAAAACAATTTATTCAACTATAAGGCTTTCTTGTAACTAGTTTTTCATATTAAAATGGTATTCTCTGGTATCAGTAACACTGTCATTGTTAGAAGCAAGACTTAGCTTTGCATTAGAAAGTTGCAATGAGCAAATCTTGCTTTGCTTCAGTTTGTGTCGTTTACTTTTAATAGGCAAAAATCTTGTGTTTGTGGAAAGTGTTTCTCCCACATACTTTCTCTAGCGTGTTAATACTGTGAAAGCCCTTTAAGGTGCTATCAGTAAATTATAAAAAAAGATACCTCCTGCACTAAGATAAAGGAGGTTTACAAGTTTTTATAGGACATAAAAATACCTCCTGCACTAAACTGCACTAAGAGGTTTCTGAAGGAGTTGCATTTCATATATAGTTTTGTGAGGAATGTGTTAACAATTTGTGTCAATAAAGAGCAGTCCTGTCTGCCTCCGGGTCCTGCACTGGCAATTTAATTCCTGAACCACAGATGTAGTTTCTCCTAGTGTGTCCCAGTCTCCCCCTAATTCTAGTCAATTTATCAAGTCTTCAGAAAATATTCCTCAAATCTATGAACCTGTTTGCTTTTGTTATTCCAAACTCCTATTTCTAACAGTTACAGCCTTTTTTGTCTTCTTCGTGATTGATTTAGCACTGCTATAGGTGTGACTGTCCCTGTGAATGGCTGATGAGGAATGTTTTAACTACTTGTGAAGTGCCAATAAGAGAGCTATTTGTGTTTGTATGTTTTTTTCTTTGAAGTCTTTGATGTCTGGGGGTTTCAGAACAACTGCTAACAACTAGTGACTGTTATGGCTTCTGAATGGGACACTATGCAAGCCTCTGATATCTGGACAGGTGGCCAGGAGATTAAGGAGAAGAAAAAAAAGAAGCTGAAGACTTGCAGGGGACGCTGTGTAAACATGACATGCTGCCAAGGAGTACAAAGGGGAAGGACAAGAAAAAAAAACTTGGAGAGGAAGACTACGAGCCTTCAGCATGAAAGACCCCTAAGACCCCCAGAGGGACCACCGGAGACTGATGCGCATGCTCCAGTTGGAGGGACTGGATCCCGGAAGCTAATTATAATAACCTATTTTTTTTTAGAAGTAGTAATGAATATGTATTAGTCTAGGAGCATAAAAATCAGCTACTTGATGTAACTGGTGTGCGTCCTGGTGGAGCAGAGACTCCCGGTGCACCCAGCACTGTTTGCTTACCTCTATTCTTTTAATAAATCCTATTTTTTATTTAATCCTACTTTGGGACTGAGCGAATTTATAACAGGTTTCTTTTAAGACATTTATGTAGTGTCCAGTGGAATAAAGAGCACCACAGGTTACTTCAGAAAAATATATTCTGAATAGCTGACAAAGTACGTTAAAAGTCTATCCAGTTTTCAGTCATTTTCTTTTAAAAAGAGGTATTGGCAGTATCTGAAAGATGTTCATATCTACAGTGTTACATAGGCACTGTCAGCAGTAGCTCCGATAAAAAGAAGATGGAAAATTAAGGTGTTGTGTAATGGAAATGAAAGTCATGTCCTGTGATTTCAGAAGACTGTGTATATTCCATTCCTTCTGCCAAGCCTGCAATTTATCATGCTATATACATACACATATACATGCATATATATATATATAGGATAATAAATAGAGAGCTACATATAAAGAACAAAAATATCAAATAAAAGTACTTAAATATATTTAAGAAAGGTCAAATAAGCAAATTTATTTAAAATATCTTAAAATACCTATATATGAAATTTTATATACCTATTTTTATGAAAAGATACTATTTACTAAATTGTTTACAAATAATAGAACATTACTAAATTGTTTACAAATAACAGAACAGTGTGCAACAAAAGCCTCTGGAGAGTAAAAATTAAGTATGTTGAAGACTACTTGTAGGACCAGAAGGCTGAGATTTCGTTCTTAATTTCCTAGTAAGAAAAAAAAAGACAAAATAGCGGTAAGCACAAATGAAAGCTTAAGAACACTTTCTATTACTATAAAAATAAATAATTTGTAATACATGGTTAGTAATATTTAGCAAACAGTGTGCTACCACCATCACAACGGCCTCTTACCCCTTCTAGCTTCAGAGGCATCCTTATACATCCAAAATAGAGAGGAGGGTATCAACTATATGGATCTCTCTCAGCAGTGGTTTCACAACAATTAGAAGGAAGAAACAGTTGCTGAGAAGCCACAACAAGCTCAAGTTAATTTCTGGACTTTGAATAATTACTCCTTAAGTTCTCTCTCTCTCCATACAGTAGAGCACGCTCCTGACTAACTTGTACAGTGCACTCTGAATAGGAGAGATTTGTTTGCCTAAGCTAAAGGAAGAAATAGAAAACCAAGAAAGCTACTTAACTTTTAACACTTAAATTAAATGTTAAGTTACAAAAGTTCACAGGCCATGAGACAACATAAATAAATCCCTTCTCGACCTAAAAGATCTCATTTTTTTTTTCAGGAGCGGCCTCCCTGAATCTAAATAATCCTCTCACAGGCAGAACAGAGTGTCCGTTCTAACTCTTTATCAGATGTGGAAGAAGAGATCGAGATGACCAGTGCCTAAAAAAAAGAGGCACTCTCTTTTCAAGGCAGACTGATCGGCACAACAAATTTCATCTGTTCTCAAGCACAAGCAACTCTAAGATAAATGGGTTCAAGGATCTTCAATGTGAAGAGTGAATATCCAAGCGTATACTGGGAACACCTGACTTGGACCATGGACGCCTCACACAGACTTCTGAGGAGTTCGGACAACTCCGAAATCATCTTTTACAGGAAGAGACCAGAGAATTTGACTCAGTGTAAAACTGGCACAGGCAGAAATCTCCCCAATTACAGATGCTCAAGCGCATTAGTTAAAAAGAGATTAGAGTGTGACTAGAGAGAAGTCTCAAACTCTTGTTATATACTTAAATTTCTCTCCAAGGATGGAACAACTGCTATCACCGTGCATGACTGGCTGTAGAGGGAGAGAGCGAGTGAAAGACTTAGAAAAGCACCTCCCCTTCGTAGTCCTCCCGCTCCCAAAATGGTTCCCAAGGAAAACTACTGACAGACTAAGGTTAACTGCTTTGAAAGGGCTGTGTGGGTGGACCCATTGTCTTCAAGTTCAAGCTTGTTCCTGCAGAAACTGCCAACAGTTATGCCAAATATAACAATGGTTTTGCAAGATGGATAAACGTCTTCCAGACTGAAAGGGAGAAGTCGTACTGTTGTTGTCTGTGCACAGACAGCTAAGCAGTGAAGAGCAATTCTAAACAACCACGATACCCCAGAACACACAAATACTGCGTAACAGTGACAGAAAGTGCTAGAATTCAAAACAAAAATTACCTCCACCAAATCGGTTTTGTCGTAGTCTTCTCTATGGTTGTAAATACACTGATTAATGACGCCATATACTTTTTCCAGGTGATAAATGTCAAATCCCTTCGTTATCTCAGTGACAAAGCATAACAGTTTCTGAAGACAACAATGGAGCAAAACAACAACTTTAGCATAGTACAAGATCCTTTGAATACGCTCTATATGGTTTCGGAGGTTGAACAGTAACAATACAAGTGACAGCCTACTTTTTCTTACGCTATTAAATAAAATGTGACACTTCAGAGAACAGATTAAATATCCCATGAGATTTCAGCAGGGAAAATGAGTTAATTTTTCATATTTCAGAGAAAGGAAAGGCTGAAATTTCGGACAATCTTTTACTACTAACCAATCTATCACATCAATGGTTGTAATTGCAAGTCGACTGCTCCCAAAGCAGCAGGGAATGACACGATCCTCCTTGTAGGACAGCTGCTGCCACAGCAAAGCCACTGTTGCATTTCATTAGAGAAGCATTGCAGCAGCGCGGGGCACTGTAAAAAGGCTGCAGATCTTGTAGATACAGCCGTGCCAGCTGGAAAAGGAAGCACCCTTAGGTGATTACCTTTACCCACGTGTGCCATGCCTACAACTCTGCTGGCAGAACAGATTGCTCAAACGCCCAGAGCAAAGGTGGATTAGTTTGCTCAATCCTACCTTTAAATTCAGGGGTGGGTAAATAGCAAAGCGACTGCTTGTAGCAATCACCTCTCTCTCACACAGTCATTTCTATTACCAAAGATGCAGAGATGATAATCTCTGGCACAGCAACAGTGACAAGCTAGTGGCAGCACCTTCTTCCACTGCCACAGCTGTCCATTACCTGTGTGAGCCTGCAAGCATGTAGCTTTAGGGAGCAGCCATACCAAATGGAAATACTACTGCCCCCTGGAAATAATGCTGCTTATCATCTTATCAGCAAACTCTGCCTCCCTCATGTATAGATATATATATATATATATACACACACACAATATAAGAAATTCTAATACTGCACTTTCAAGGAATTTCAGAAAAGTAGTCACTTCTCCATGGCTAGCTAGTTTACGTCAACCTGCTAACTTCAGGTTTAAAATCATCACTGCAAGAAATAAAGATCCTTTTCAGGTTCTTAATACATCAAAGCATGAAAAAAAATCCCAAATAAAAGCCCTCAAACCCATCATAAGAATTATGAATCATTAAAATGATATCCATAATAGTACTAGCAGGTTGTCAGTGTGGTATTTTAAAATTCAGCAAGGCCTTTTGTCTTAAAAACTAGGCAAGGAATCTGTCTCCTAAACTACAGATGACCAGAAGCAAATGGTAGCCTACAGAAATCTACACGAGGTGTGGAAACTAAACAGTCACAGTGCATTACAGGCTGAATTATTTCACTATCTGTATGTCCTTCCAATTAATTGTTTTAATTGGCATTGGTTAACAATGGGCTTAATTTGCAATTTTACATGTCGCAGGAATATGTCCTATTTGAGCATTAAAAAAAAGCTGAAATTAGACATACTTTGAGCTCATAGCGATCCACGATAACTATGTAGTCTGTCTCTGTAGGGACTTGTACAGTGTTCTCATCACTTATCTGTTGTTGGTCTTCTTCCCAAGAACGTTCAGGAGTCACCGCTTGAAATGCCCAGGAATCTGGAAGGACACAGATTTCTTCAGTCAGGTTTTCTGTTTATCTAGAATACAGTCTCAGTGAAGTATCCTGTACCTGCCAAACAGTCTCTTTCTACAAATACAGAGACAGAATTGTTATCGTCTTCACTGAGAAATACTTGGCTTCTCCCTTCTTTCCAGCTAAAGTCACTGCTCCATAAAAATTAGAAACTAAGACAAAAAAAGCAAACAAAAATACCCACAAACAAACCAAAAGCACTAATGAAAAGCTTAATAGTGGAAAAAAATAGTCATGTTGCCAATGCAGGTTAGGGAACACATCTTAGAGTACAACATTAGGGCTTAAGTCTCCTATTCCACATGTTACTCTGGATCCACGCATCTTGAAGTGCAGCTTTTTCACCTAAGCTGCTCGTTATTGGAAAGCACCTCGTACAATAAAAGAATGTCAGTGACTGCTGGCTTTCAGTTAGGTACCATTAGAAAAAAACAGACTTCAGAATCAAAAAAACAGCACCTACAGAAACATGTGGGCTTGGCTTGCACAATTAGAGGAGCAACATCATTACGGAATAAACTGTGTGATGATTTTTGAGAGCTGAAACAGAAAAAATAGAGTGAAATTGAAGCCTAAAGCTAATAAATAGTGCAATCCTCCTCAGCAAGAATAAGGTGCTAAAGGATCTGTTGGACTTCTCCCTTACCATTTGAACTTGGATTTTCATTAGTTATAGTTCCCCATCTTGGTGGGGAATATCCACAAAGCTTAGCACTTTCCTTTTCACTGTTAAGTTTTACTTGACATATGCCAGAAACATGTTTGTCCACAAACTCTTCTTCATCGCTATCGTTTTGGTCATCTGTTGGTACTCTGTTCTCTGTATCGAATTGAGAACTCCTTCTTCTCTTTGCTGCAGCATGCGCACAGTTGTTCCTTCTGCGCTTTCTTTCTGACGCACCTACAAAGAGACAGCATAAAAAAGTAATCCAAAACATAACCAAAAGAATTCTTTCTTCAAAATCCATTATCTTCATCTTACTTGACTGACAAGGAAAACAAAGGAACTGAGCTACCACTGCCTACATATGCTGAGAAAAGAGTTGAAAGTTAATGGGGTCAGTTTGCTATTAAGATTAAAAACAAGCAAACAAACCACACACACAGCTATGGAATTTCATTCACTAAACAGTCACTTTCAGGATTTTACATGCTGAGGATTCTTACTTTGGATGGGCAATATTAATACAACGTGAGGTTATTTGATAAAGTCACTGTCTTACTGCATGAACTAATACAGATGAACATCATAAAAGCCTCTGGAAATAAGCTCTCCTTCGAGTCTGGTATCAAGCTGAAGACTTCAAAAGCTGAATACATGTTTGGAAGAGATTAATTAATGAGACAATTTTAAGGGAATATTCAAAGGAGAAAAAACGTGAAGACTTATACCTCGTATGCTTCCTGATTCGGTAAACCTTTTGTGAAAAAACAAACTTTGTGGTTTTGCCCAACATTCGCAGTATTCATATAGTATTGCAAAAGGATATGGGTGGAGTCCATGGCAAAATTCCCACTCTCACTAGTTAGACTTCCCTCCTTCAACTGGAAATCACAGTATGAGGTAGCTAAGATTTTAGCATTTGGGGAAGGGAGGGGTGGAGTGGGGGTAAAAATACCATTTTGCATAATTAAAAACTAGTTAAGTATTCAGAAACTGCCATCCACAACATTTTTTACCTCAAGAATTAGCAATTTAGGGGCGACTAAATGGCAATTGGGCCGTCAAAGTTGTTTTTTTGTTTTGTTTTGTTTTGTTTTGTTTTTTTATATTGTAAACCAACTTTCTTTGAACTTTAATTCATAACTATATTGAATGAATGACCTCTGGATTTCTCTCTCACGTTTTGAAGTAAATTTGAAAACAAAATACCTCTGGCATAAAGAGCCAGGCATCAGAGACACCTGTTGCGCCTCAAGAACAGAGAAGGTATGAATGACAAGAGCAGCTGAATAAAATGCAACTTACCATTAGAAATGGGTGTACTGGCATCTACAGGTGCCGCTGTCATCTCCTCATTTTCATTACTCTCTTCATCTGGTTTGTCGTCTTCAGTAGCAGGGTTCTGCTGTGGTGACTTGGAGTTGTCGCATGGAGCACATGCTGGAGAGGTGTGACCTTGCAATAAAGAATAGATACCAAAGATCTTCGTTGTGCATTCTCAGTTACAAATGCAGAGACAAGTCTTAAAATCCTTAGCGTTAAAGCACGTACCTCTTTTCTCACGAGATTCTTTAATTTGTTCACAAAGTCGTCCAAACTCTGTATCCATTTTGTTCCTCACCATTGAATATGCAGTGTCTTGCAAAACATAGGCTCTGTGACAATCTGAAATTTTACAGACTTTAACTGAATGTTGTCTACCAACCAATGAAACTGTTTTGATCACAGAAAAAAATTGCTTTCTTCATAGGTTGGTTCCGAAAGGTTATCTCAGTGAATATTTTCAGCATAACAACATAGAAGTTAATTAAAACAAAAGCACTAGTTCCTTGGGAACATTTATATCACACTTCCATGCCCAAGTAGCAAAATGATAAAATATTTACAATGTGGTAAGAGATGTTCTCTGTGGATGTCCAAAATCATCTAATCCATCCAAAGTCTGTTGTCCGCACACAGCATTTATCCATCTATACGTTTGACAGATTTTTTAAACTAGGGCTAAAAAGCACATCCTCACTTGTAGACCTTTGATCTGGGTAGTACTCTAAGGCATTGTTACAGATTAGATCGATGTCCTTCAGATAGTCTCCTGCAGTGAGGTACTGGCGCGAGTCAATTTGAGTCAGAACTGTTGAAAGATCCATCGGCTCTTTAATCCTTGTGGCATAGTCAGGTACCTGCAGATCAAATACAAGCATTCAGAGGTTTTCTTAACCTTGCACACTGTCTACCAAAATTATTCTGAAAACTTTAAATAAACAACTTCCTAAAAACCCTGAACATTTGCGATGCATCAGAAGATGCTGAAATTAACCAGTTTGCTTCTCAGAAATGGAAGGGCTCTTTCAACTGGCATTAGAGCTGCTAGGAGAGGACAACAAGAAGTAGGGAGGTCAGAAGCACATACATGGTAGAGAAGAAACACTGAGGGTGGGACATTCATTTCACTTTGCTTCAGAAAATCACAACAGTGAAAGCTGAGTAAGCCATCCAACATTCTTTTTGCTGTCGACATTGAGGAAAAGGTGCATGAATTGCACCTGTGAAGTACCTATTGCAGGCATCTACTTTAGAATGAGATAACTAGGCCCAGAGGTGCTGATTTCTTCCCTCAGACCATAAGAGGAGCCTAATGACTAGTTCAGATGAGGACATACGTATCTGTCTAGATTTTTCACAGCTCAAGAACCTAGGAGAAAAGGGGAAGAAAAGCCAGTGGATGCCCACATGAAGAGGCCTTTGCTGATCCGCAGGTATAGTCAAGTTACACCTGTCTTTGAAATATATGCCCCTAGTTTAGGCTTATCTAATCAATTAAGGAGAAAAAGGGATCTAAGCAGATCTTTTTTGGAGGAAAAAGAAAACACACTGCACTTATGGTTGATTCCTATTGAGGAGTTCCAGATGAAACAGAGAACAGGATCTCAAAACTTATTTTTACAAACTGCTGCTCCTATTCCTGTTCCCACAGGAACTGACAGTCCAATAAAGGGCTTTAGACTTCATTAAAGTAGTCCTGTAAGTACTGTTTGTAATTATAAGGAAAGATCTCTGTGCTTTTCAGTGCTGTGACATGCCTACATATCAAAGCCTTTTCACGAGCAGACTGTGTTGGCATTTGGACTGGCTTTTTAGAATGAAACCAGGGCTTTCAGTGAATAATCCGGTAAGAGACATCCGAGAGTCAGCAGAAGTAAAAGCACTGCCTCTGCTTCTTGCAAAATCCTAATAGTGCAGCCCTAAAAACAAAGTTGAACCTTCCCCAAAACGCTGAGAAATACAAACGCTGAGAAGTTACAGACACACACAGATCAGCACTAGTTTACCTTCTGTGGGTCAACGGGCTTTGCAAATTCCCTGAAACGTCTGTCAGTGGCAAGTCTGTGAGTAACGTCCCTCAAGAAAATTCTAAGTTCACGCAAGGTATCCTCCTCTTCCTCCTCCAGCATCCCTACTTCTTCCTCTTGTGGCTTCTGAGGCTCAGCTGGTGGTGCTACAAGCAGGACTTCCAATGTCCGATCAACTTCAATTAATCAGGAAAAATTAGCCAATTTACAGTACTCAAATATAAGCATATGACAAATTACTGACAGAAAATGACCACCAAAGCAAATCCCAAAGAGCTAGTAACTTCAATAGAAAAGTTTTAGATGTACTTCTTATATCCTCCTCACCTGTTTTCTTTACAGGAGGCTTAGCCACTTGATTTAGAATTAGGTCCTCAAAAAAAGCTGCTCTCTCTGCCCTACCAGCCAACTCAATATTGCACGCTTCTCCAAATTCCTTATTAAATAATTTTTGGATCTAAAGCAGAAGGAGGAAAGACATTTCAGAGGTAAGGCCACAAAAACTCATATTCTATTCCAAAACGACGAGTACCTTTTAAAATGAATAATAACCTGAAGAACACAAACTGAAAAAAGTTATCTTCCTGGCCTTAAAAGGCTACATTTTCACAGGCTGGCACGGCAAATTCAAATATCACCTTTAAGAATCACCTGTAGAATTAAAGCTCGGTGAAGGGATTGTACGCTACACTGATAAAGTAATGGCTTTCACCACATCCAACATCGCTTCCTTTGTATTTACTTGCCTTGCTGCATCCTTTACTTAGATTCCAGGATGTGCTATGTTTCTGGTTGCTCAGAAAGAGCGAAGACAGAGGGTCCAGTTGCATGTGGGGCTGCGTGAAGGCTCCACTGGGGACTTCAGCTGTACCCAAAGTCTTGCTTTGGCGGCAATTTGGATGGGTGAAAGGGGATTTCAATGCGTTTTCTCTGCGGCCCTATTTTCATTCGTCTCAGATTCCGGGTAGGGCTATGTTTCGGGTTGTTCAGAAAGAGCGAACACAGAGGGTCCAGTTGCATGTGGGGCTGCGTGAAGTCTCCCCTGGGGAATTCAGTTGTACCCAAAGCGTTTCTAAGGGGGCACTTTTGATGAGGAAAAAAGACTTTGTATGCGTTTCCTGGGGCCGTCTTTTGAATTCGTCTCAGATTCCGGTTAGGGATCTTGTTCGCGTTGCTCAGAAAGAGCGAACACAGAGGGTCCAGTTGCATGTTTGGCTGCGTGAAGGCTCCCCTGGGGAGTTCAGTTGTACCCAAAGTCTTGCTTTGGGGCACATTTGGATGTGCGAAAGCATCTTTGAATGCGTTTTTCTGGGACCCTATTATTCATTCGTCCCAGATTCCAGGTAGGGCTATGTTAAGGGTTTGCTCAGAAAGAGTGAAAACAGAGGGTCTAGTTAGGCATGTGGGGCTGCGTGAAGGCTCCCCTTGGGGAGTTCAGTTGTACCCAAAGCCTCCTTAAGGGGGCACTTTGGATGGGCAAAGGGGTACTTGAAAGCCTGTTGTTCTGGGGGCCATATTTCGAATTCCTCTCCCCATGCCTAGGTAGAGCCTATAGTTCTGGTTGCTCTAGAAAGAAGCGAACACAGAGGGTCCAGTAAAATGTGGGGCTAGCGTGAAAGGACTCCCTTGGGATGATTCAGTTTGATACCCAAAGCCTTCCTGTTGGGGGGCACGTTTGGATGGGCAAAAGTGGACATTGTAACGCATTTCTGGGTCCCCAATTTATTCCTCTCGTCATGATGCCGGGTATGGTCATGTTTCTGGGTTCCTCCTGAAAGAGGCGAAGACGAGGGTCCAGTTGAATGTGGGGCTGTGTGAAGGCTCCCTGCGGAGTTCAGTTGTACCCAAAGCCTTCGTTTTGGGGCACTTTTGGATGGGCCAAAGGGGCTTTGAACTCTTTTTCTGGGGCCCTATTTTGAAATCTTTTCCGAATCCGGGTAGGGCTATGTTTTGGGTTGCTCAGAAAGAGCGAAGACAGAGGGTACAGTTGCATGTGGGGTTGCGTGAAGGCTCCCCTTGGGGAGTTCAGTTGTACCCAAAGCCTTTCTAAGGGGGCACTTTTGGATGGACAAAAGGGACTTTGAACGCATTTTCTCGGGCCATATTTTGAATTCCTCTCCCTTGCCGGGTAGGGTTATGATTCGGGTTGCTCAGAAAGAGCGAAGACAGAGGGTACAGTTGCATGTGGGGTTGGGTGAAGGCTCCCCTGGGGAATTTAGTTGTAGCCAAGGCCTTCCTTTGGGAACACTTTTGGATGGGTGAAAGGGGCTTTGAAGGCGCTTTCTCGGGCCGTATTTTGAATTCCTCGCCCATGCCGGGTAGGGCTATGTTTCTGGTTGCTCAGAAAGAGCGAAGACAGAGGGTCCAGTTGCATGTGGGGCTGTGTGAAGGCTCCCCTGGGAGTTCAGGTGTCCCCAAAGCCTTCCTTTGGGGGAACTTATGGATGGGCGAAAGGGTCTTTGAATGCGTTTTCTGGGGCCCAATTTTTCATTCGTCTCAGATTCCGGGTAGGACTATGTTTCTGGTTGCTCAGGAAGAGCGAAGTCAGAGGGTCCAGTTGAATGTGGGGCTGAGTGAAGGCTCCCCTGGGAGTTCAGGTGTCCCCAAAGCCTTCCTTTGGGGAAACTTTTGGTTGGGCGAAAGGGGCTTTGAACGCATTTTCTCTGGCCATATTTTGAATTCCTCTCTCATGCCGGGTAGGGCTATAATTCGGGTTGCTCAGAAAGAGAGAACACAGAGGGTCCAGTTGCATATGGGGCTGCATGAAGCCTCCCCTGGGGAGTTCAGTTGTACCTAAAACCTTTCTAAGTGGGCACATTTGGATGGGCGAAAGGGGCTCTGAACCCCTTTTTCTGGGGCCCTATTTTGAATTCATCTCGCATGCCGGGTATGGCTATGTTTCTGGCTGATCAGAAAGAGCGAGGATAGAGGGTCCAGTGGCATGTGGGGCTGCGTGAAGGCTCCCCTGGCGAGTTCAGTTTTACCTAAAGCCTTCCTTTGGGGCATTTTTGGATGGGCAAAAGGGACTTTGTACGCATTTTCTGGGGCCCTTTTTGAATTTGTCTCCATGCAAGGTAGGGTTATGTTTCGGGTTGTTCAGAAAGAGCGAACACAGAGGGTCCATTTGCATGTGGGGCTGTGTGAAGGCTCCCCTGCGGAGTTTAGTTGTACCCAAGGACTACCTTTGGGGGCAATTTTGATGGGCGAAAGGGGCTTTGAACACATTTTCTCGGACCATATTTTGAATTCCTCTCCCATGCCGGGTAGGGCTATGTTTCGGGTAGCTCAGAATGAGCAAACAGAAAGGGTCCAGTTGCATGTGGCGCTTTTTGAAGGTTCCACCGAGGAGTTATTTGTAGCCAAAGCCTTTCTAAGGGGGCACTTTTTGATGGGTGAAAGGGGCTTTGAACGCATTTTCTGGGGCCATATTTTGAATTCCTCTCCCATGCTGGGTATGGCTATGTTTCTTGTTGCTCAGAAAGAGCGAAGACAGAGGGTCTAGTTGCATGTGAGGCTGTGTGAAGGTTCCCCTGGGGAATTTAGTTTTACCCAAAGCCTTTCTAAGGATGCACTTTTGGATGGGCGAAAGGGGCTTTGAATACCTTTTCTCAGGCCATATTTTGAATTCCTCTCCCATGCCGGGTAGGGTTATGATTCGGGTTGCTCAGAAAGAACGAACACAGAGGTTCCAGTTGCATGTGGGGCTTTGTGAATGCTCCCCTTGGGGAGTTTAAATGTACCCAAAGCCTTCCTTTGAGGGCACTTTTGGATGGGCGAAAGGGGCTTTGACCGCCTTTTCTGGGGCACAATTTTTCATTCGTTTCATATTCCGGGTACGGCTATGGTTCACAATGCTCAAAAAGAGCGAAGATAGAGGGTCCAGTGGCATGTGGAGCTTTGTGAAGGCTTCCCTGGGGAGTTCACTTGTACCCAAAGACTTTCTTTGGGGCACTTTTTGATGGGCGAAAGGGGCTTTGACTGACTTTTCTGGGGCCCTATTTTGAATGCTTCTCCGATTCCAGGTATGGATATATTTCGGGTTACTCAGAAAGAGCGAGGATAGAGGGTCCAGTGGCATGTGGGGCTGCGTGAAGCCTCCCCTGGGAAGTTCAGTTGTACCCAAAGCCTTCCTTTGGGGGATCTTTTGGATGGGCGAAAGGGGATTTTAATGCGATTTCTGGGGCCCTATTTTTCATTTGTCTCAGATTCCAGGTAGGGCTATGTTTTATGTTGCTCAGAAAGACCGAACACCGAGGGTCCAGTGGCATGTGTGATTGTGTGAAGGCTCCCCTTGGGATTTCAGTTGTACCCAAAGCCTTCCTTTGGGGCACTTTTGGATGAGCAAAAGGGACTTTGTACGCGTTTTCTGGGGCTGTCTTTTGAATTCGTCTCCCATGCCGCGTACGGCTATGTTTCTGGTTGCTCAGAAAGAGCGAAGACTGAGGGTCCAGTTGCATGTTTGGCTGCGTGAAGGCTCCCCTGGGGAGTTCAGTTGTACCCAAAGTCTTGCTTTGGGGGCACTTTTGGATGAGCGAAAGCGTCTTTGAATGCGTTTTCTGGGACCCTATTTTTCATTCGTCCCAGATTCCAGGTAGGGCTATGTTAAGGGTTGCTCATTAAGAGGAAACACAGAGGGTCCAGTTACATGTGGGGCTGCGTGAAGGCTCCCCTGGGGAGTTGAGTTGTCCCCAAAGCCTTCCTTTGGGGGCACGTTTGGATGGGCGAAAGGGCATCTGAATGCGTTTTCTGGGGCCCTATTTTTCATTCGTCTCAGATTCTAGGTAGGGCTTTGGTTTGCGTTGCTCAGAAAGAGCAAAGACAGAGGGTCCAGCTGTATTTGTGGCTGTGTGAAGGCTCCCCTGGGGAGTTCAGTCGTACCCAAAGTCTTCCTTTCGGGGCACTTTTGGATGTGTGAAAGGGGCTTTGAAGGCTTTTTCTGGGGCCCTCTTTTGAATTCGTTTCCCATGCCGGGTAGGGCTATGTTTCGGGTTGCTCAGAAAGAGCGAAGACAGAGGGTCCAGTTGCATGTAGGGCTGTGTGAAGGCTCCCCTGGGGAGTTCTGTTGTCCCCAAAGCCTTCCTTTGGGGGCACTTTTGATTAGGCGAAAGGGACTTTGAACGCATTTTCTGGGGCCATATTTTGAATTCCTCTCCCATGCAGGGTAGGATTATGATGCGGGTTGCTCAGAAAGAGCGAAGACAGAGGGTCCAGTTGCATGTGGGGCTGTGTGAATGATCCCCTGGGGATTTCATTTGTACCCAAAGCCTTCCTTTGGGGCACTTTTAAATGGACAAAAGGGGCTTTGAACTCGTTTTCTCGGGCCATATTTTGAATTCCTCTCCCATGCCTGGTTGGGTTATGATTCGGGTTGCTCAGAAAGAGCGAACACAGAGGGTCCAGTTGCATGTGGGATTGTGTGAAGGCTCCACTGAGGAGTTCAGTTGTACCCAAAGCCT